GTCTTGGCAAGAAACAGGTGTAAGGAGTGTATATATTTTGGATGGGGTACCAGTCCATCACAGGGCACACAGTCACAAATACAAAAACCCTCACACCAGGGCCAATTTCTCCAAAAGCCAATTAATCTACCAGTATGTCTGTGGACTTTGGGAAGAAAGCAGAGCACCCAGAGGAAACCCACACAAACACATGGAGAACACACAAACTCCTAACAGATTGAACCCCAGTAATTGAACCTAGAACCCCAGTGCAAGGCAGCAATGCTAACCATCTCTGTGTCACCTCGAGTTTAAAATCATAGAGGTATAACTTATTCTTCCTTAAGAGGGGACTAGTGGTTAAGAACTAGAAAACTTGAGGTAGTCCGAAAGACAAGGACAGACTTATTAAAGTGCAGATTAAAAGTAACACGATGGCAGTGTTAGAGTTTTGGTGTTGAGTGTGCTGGCTCTTCACACTGCTGTTGGATTTACAAAAAATATTCTGAACTATGTAATTCCTATTCCATGTGGAGGCTAGATCATAAATCAGTAACATGTTGTGTGATTTTTCTAGGCTTTTATATACTAGAAATGACTATTGACTAAAAATCTCTCATAGCGTTCCAGTACTTCTCCTCGTAGTGCTCATTCAGTGACATACCTGGCATTGATATACTGTAATAAAGTAAATATCAGATCTCTGTTATTGGATTGGGGCTGCCTGCAAATACAACCTTTTTGGACTACATCACAAATGCCTTACTTAGTAATGGAAAACGTGTGGCTGCTTTGGTTGGGTGGTGTTGAGTTCTAGAATTGTAATGCTGTCTGTAGAAAAGAAAAACATTCCTCCCGGCTGATCCTTGTTCTGACAGACATTGTCCACTACATGCATGGAGTTCTGCAATGTGATGCTCGCTTAATTTGGTTACAGCTGCCTACGTGTTGAAACTTGCTTTCCAGATAATATCCCAAGTTAGAATACATTTGAAAATACAACTTAGCTTGGTTTTCTGTTTGGCTGACCTGAAGCAGGTTGATTAAAAAAAAAAAGTAAAGGGGTTGGACTCCAGTCAGAGATTCAATAAATAAAGGCAGGCCAGGGCCTATAGCATCATGCCCCTACACAGGCATGTGAAAAACTGTACAAGAGTAGGTGCCTCAACAATGCTTCTTTGTTTCAGGAAATGAAAGGTCATTGAGCAGTTCCCAAATTTCATTTTCCAAAGCCCTTCTGAGTCAGTGTAGTATTGGAGAGGAATTTGTATAAGGGATTTGAATTTCCCACTTTTAAAGGGTGTCCTCAGGGAACAGAAAAGAAGTGATCATTATTTTTAATGAATTTATATATTGAATTTATATATCTGTGATTTATTGATTCAATTCCATCATATTGTTGTGCAGTTACACATTGCATGGCTTGGCTTGTGGTGCTAAATGAGTCATTTCACTTGGTAAATCACTCCACACCACAGCACTTAAAAATCCCATCAGATGTTCCAACTCAAACCACTGCCATGTCCTGTTAGGTGATGTACTTATGCCTAGTACCTGTATATAATGAGGTGATGGAATAAGTAATACTGAAGGGGTTACAGAATTTTATGCTCTGACAGGTGAGGCCTACTGCATTTAGACTTATTGGACTCCTGCTGTCAGAACTTGGATTTAGTTTGCTCAGAATATAAACCAGCTTGAGAAAAGTTTGGGAGTTAAATATACTGTATTCAGATTCTTTTCTTCTAGGAGTAGAAAAAATAATCTTCAGATTTAGATATTTTAGCTTCCAGTAAGTACATTTTTTTAGCAAAGTCATTTTGCTAAGTAGTAACATGAATTCTTCATCTCTCCCTGGGAACAAGGGAGACAGAAACAAGAAAGGGGAAAGGAGCCTTGTCAGGTAATGAATTGATAAGCAGGTAGCTGTGTCAGCATGCATAGGCTGCAAAGGAACAGGTAAACGTTTATTCCATGCTTAAAGGAAAAGAAAAGAGACAATGTTTTGGTTGGGGGAGCCTTCTTAAGGTGCCAATTGATAATGCTGATTCAATTCAACAACCAATTCAGGTGTGAGTTGTTAATGCTGTTTCTGTTCAAGTGATGACTAAAATCTAAATTGTCTAGTCTGTATTTAAAATAAAATATGACAGTGTAATATTTGTTAGTTCAAACCTCACTTTATCAATTCGTTAAAGTTTTTATATTTTTCTCATATGAATCGCACGTTATGGTATACTTTTGTGAACTTCTCGCTTTCCATAAGAAGTCCACTATTGTTCTGATTTTTTGGAGAGACAAGTGTGATTAATATGGCTCCTAGAGGAACCAGAGAGTATTGATGTTTTTCTGACTGTGTTATAGCAGTGATGGCTTTAGTTGTTTCTTAATTGCTAACTATGTTGTTATGGTACTTGGTAAACAAATTGTGCTGCAAAAATGTGTACCTGCCCCTATAGGTTACTTTCTTTACAGCCTACGAACAACTGCACAACAGGAACTTGTTTGTTTCTTTTATACCAAGGTCAGTTGGATGTCTGAGATAAACTCAACATTATTAAAAGTAGCTGTAAGCGATCCATTTACATTCAAACCTGCAGAGGATAAGTATAGTTAGAACCAAATTGAGGAACAATGTTAAATCCTGTAAGTATGACAGTAAGATAATAGCAGTGATACTGGTGTACCTGTATTGTTAACTTTTCCTTTTCTGTTACAAGGCTTAATTGTATACATGGTCATGGTGTATCAGCAGTTCAGATAATGTTATATTTAAAATGGTAATTTGTCAGGATTCACAATATAGCTTGTGCTCCTGACAGTGACTGACCTACAGAATAAGTATTTAGGCATTATTTCAACATTGAAGAACTATACAAGTCATTTGAATAATTGATCCCTGCCAGAATAGAGAATTCTGTAAAAGTATATACTGTAGATTGTGACAAGAACCAAGCTGTTTTTCAGAGGTTACATGATATGTTACAAATCATCAGCATGAATGGAGCCCCTTCTTATTTATGTAAGGATACAGATGGTTTAGAGTTTCACTAAGGTATGCAATAGCTTGGCTCTATCCGGCTGCAGTCATGATTTTAAATCTTCATCCAAAAAATATATGCTCAGACCTATACATCTTCTTTCTGTTGTCACTATTGTCACTATCCAAGTTTCTACAAATTCTACAATTGCATGTATATCTCCCAGAAACATTTTTTTTCTTTTAAATCGATACAGAATTTTGTTTTAAGACCTTTCCAGGAACAAATTAACTTCCAAAATAATGAGAAAAATATTTTTTCTTGATGCCGCAGTGGTTAACATTACTAAGCCTTGCGCTTGGGCCCTTGGTTCAGTTCCTGGGTTGTGATCCTCATGAAGGTGGAATGTTCTCCCTGTGTTGGAGATTCCACTGGGTGCTCCGTTTTCCTCCAGAACTCCAAAGATATTCTGCTACAATAGACTGGCTCCTTGGAAAATGGGCCGTGATATCAGTGTGCGTGTGTTCGTGTCTCTGTCTGCCCTGCAATGGACTGGTGTCCTGTCTAGTGTTTTAGATAAATCAGTTAGAAAATGAGTGGATGCATTATTTTTTAAAATTCCTACACAAACATGTTCAATGTTAAAAGTCCTTAAAAATCAGCAATATTTGATTTACTGTTTGTAAATTGGACTACTGGGATTTCTTAACTAATGCCTACAAACCTATAGAAAAAGCAAATAATCATGCTAGCTGTTTTGCACTAAAAATAATAACTGACTTTTAATATACAGCATCTACCCTTATCTTCTCTTACAAATTAAAATGTGATATTCAAGCCCTGAAACAAGGTGGTGAATAGAATAAAATGATTTTCATGTTTTCTCTGTGTCGATGAGGATTGTGCCAAATATCCCACTTTTTAGAGGGGATTCTGACTTAAAGGCATTCAGTCATAATCCAATTGTAGAGGTTGTAGCTTCACACCACTGGCTCTTCAACCAAGCACAAACATTGCTCTGGATGCAGGTGTCCATTGCTCTGTAAAACGCATAAGCATTCAGACTCTTACAGAGCCATCTTTACATTTACATGACTGTAAAAAGGTTTTTAGAATCACATGCTTTACAGCAGTGCTGCCTGTTTACAGTATTTCTGTACAATAAGCATCTTCATTATTCTATTGGTCCTGTTAGTAATCATTAAAAAAATGAGCAATAGGATTTTTCCGTTGTTAGCTAATGGACTGGACTGCAGAGGTCACAGGTTGAATGTGGAGGAGGTTTACAACAACCACATTCCACTTTTTCATTTAAGAATTGTAATGGTAGTGCTTAATGTGTTTTAGCTTGGCATGAATATTTATTATTTTTGTGTAGTCAGCTTTTTGTGAAGTAGGAGAAAGCTATACCTTTAATTGATTAGCTCCAATCAGTTTACAAAAATAACACTGAATTTTTAAAGTATTCTTCACCATGAGTATGTATACATGAAGGTGTCCATATATCAAATGCCAGAACAGTTGTAAGTATCCTTGCCTGTTGACTTGATATGGAGAGTATCCCCTCTTTTCAAATCCTGTGTTTCTTTCGAAAATAATTCTGTAATAAGATAATAAGCTGTGTTGAAGATCTGGAGAGTGGTTTATGAATTCACAGCTGTATCATTTCAGGAATTACAGCCAAGGATGATCCCACTAACACATGTTAGGAGATTTCTTAGACACCACGTTTGTTCAAGCCACCATATTTTCACTGAGTGCCTCTCTGTGCACGTAGTATTCATGATGCAGCCCAGAGAAGTTAAATCACTAGGCCCATCTGTCTTGGGTGGTTGTGGAATTAGTAATGACTCTAGAATCTCATCCATCAGTTTCTCAAAGCATCCCGAGGAGTTTTCTTTAAAACATGGCTGGGTGAATGATATGATCTAAGAATCAGAGTTGATGAAATAGTGATGGATGAAGCACGCTTGTAGGCTAACAGTGGTTAAATGGTGTGGACTGTAGATTGAATGGAGTGGTTTTGTTTGGTGTTCTCAGGTGGATGGAAGCCTGCCTGGAGGAAGAGTTACCCCCAACTACAGAGCTGGAGGAGGGTCTGCGCAATGGAGTCTTCCTGGGGAAACTCGCCAGGTTCTTCGCTCCAAAAATGGTGTCGGAGAAAAGGATATACGACCGAGACCAAGCTCGTTATAAGGTAGTTTATTTCTGTATTAATTGAAATTAGACCCCTGTTTTGTTTTTGTCCAATGTAAATGTGAATCAACATTTTTTAGTACTTCCTCTTCCCCCCATTACCAGTAGGGGAGAGGTCAGTGCACGTCATGCTCTGAAATATGCACTGTTGAGGTTGAGACCTCTCTTTTTTTTTAATGGATGCCCCAAAGCCTGGCAGCAGAATTATCATAAAATGGATGAGCACTGCAGCCTTTAGCATTGGGCTGTTACCTTCAGGCTCGAGGATACCTGCAGGCTTCCAATGAGAAGGACATCTTGGCTGCCCATCTTATTTCTAGGCCAAAGGAAGAGTGGCTCTGAACCTGTACATTCTGCCATTTTAGTATTGTTTCTCGAAAACGAATTTGCCCCCTGCCAATAATATCACATTTTGGTGAGTTACAAGTAGTGAATCCATTCTTTTCACATCAATATTTTTGTTTAAATTTTATGACCAAACTGAACAGTTACACACGAAGGAGGCTGAATGTCGGAAAACCTTGCATAGAAGAAATGCAATCAGTAAGTTTCACTTAGCATATGTTTTAGGTTAGTACTTAGTACTGGAAAGACCTTAGACAGTAATTACTGCTATTGGTACTTTTACGACTCTACCAACATTGTGGGATGATGTAATTTAGTCCATTCTTCCTGGGACAATTGCCCCAGTAGTAAGAAATCTTTTGGGGAAAGTTTATGATCTGCCATCATCAAACCTCAACATAACTTTTCTGTAGGATTTAAGTGAGAATTTTGGGCAGCTCAAGAACATTAACATTAACTGTCTTCTAGTCAGACCACTCCAGTTTGACTTTGGCCCTGTGGTGCAGGCCTTTATTCCGTTAAAAAAAATCATAATATTAAACCATCCCTTTGCAGTATATTTCAAATGAGACTTAAGTTTAGTCTTTTTCTGTAAAGGCATTTTTCTTGCTGTTCAGCTGTACAGGTCAACTTTGAGTAGGGACAGGATTACTGTGGATGTTTGAACAATGCTTCCCATCTTAAAAAATAGAATTTTGCAAGCCTTTCAAAGTCACAGTGGCATCTCTAAACACATCAGCTACAGTAAGTGTGGGAGCGAGGCCTGATCGGCTCTAGGTACTGTCTGGGCGATGTGGTGATCTTTCCGCTTCTTAATGACGTCTTTGTACGCATAGGGACTACTGACATTTTCCTGATCTGTGGCTATTTACCACTTAATTTGTCTTCATGGTCGACTTGTTATATCATCATGTAAGTTGTGGCTTGATAATCAGTCTGTTGTAGGGAACTTACAGAGACATGCATTTACACACAACAATGTATTGACCTTTCAGATTATTCTTTTTCTTCTAAACTGATTAGGGCTCCTATAGCAAGTGGTTAGTTGTGCAACTGAAAATCGACTTTCTTTATGGTTAGCTATGCTGACCATAATTATAGGCATTCAGGCCTGTCCAGTATTTCTATACATGATCCTAAGTATGCTGAGAAATGTTATTTGCTTAAAGCACGAGCCAAACCTGTACCTGTATTAAATCCTTGTTTTCTTTATACAGTATTAATATACAATACAGTATATTCCCTCATTTACTCAGGTGTTTCAATTTTTGGTTCACTACCTGTATGTTCACATATTGGCCAATGTAGGCAGAATTATTTAAAGGTGATTAGTATCTGGATAGCTTTTAGTAACCCCACGCTGCATACTCTCAGCAAAGGAAGTTATGTGCTTAACTCCAACTCTGTTACAGACATCCTATTTCCTTTAGACAGTTGACCCAGGCGACAAATTAGCCATTCCTCTTGTTAAACAGAACAGCAATAATGACACCAGACTCTCAGATTATCAGTCAAAGACTGTCAAGGATCAAGGATATCAGCTTGAAAATTCTGTAAAAGTACTGAATCAAATGTGTAATATTTGAGTCAAAAGAAACTTGATATTCACAATGTTTTCAGGTAGTTACATTTTTTTAGCAGGTACACTTACATTTTGTTGAACAAATGCAACTTATTATTCAAATGCAAATTATGTTTATTAATGTTGATAATCAATCAGGAATGTGCTTGAAAAATCACAGCCAGCTGGAATGTATGGTTCCAGCTTCCAAAGTCATTTCAGTGTATTCAAATTAGTCATGAAGGATAAAAAATTAAGATGAGCCCAATAACAATTAATATCCAAAACCTGTATGATTATGTTTCTAAACATACGCACTTGTACTTCTTCCAATTTTGAGATTATATATGGCTGTAGATCTAGTATGATGCATCTGGTAAATACAGATTATGATATCCCACATTAATATATAAAATTGTACAAATGGGGGGGGGTAAGTTAAAGTTAATTACGCACCATACAGTCAGGACTGATTGTGTGAATGACTGTATGACCACATGGTTTCTTTGTTTCTGGCACTTTAATGACACTTTGATATTCTTTACAAAGACCCGGGAGTCTGGAACCAGTCCGTGGTCAAGGCCTTCTCCAGTCCCTTGTATAGAACAACAATCATTTCTAAAAGTGATGTTTAGCTGAGAGAACCAATTCTTTAAACCAGAAAAACAGAGATGGTCAGCCTGACAATGGTCAGCCATTGTTAAAAGGAAATGTTCCTTGAAATATAAAAATATAGCTCCCTTACCCTAAATTTATTGTTGGTCTCATTAGTCTTCAACAGTGCCGGTTAGTGTTCAGTCCTTGAGTTGGCCCACGTTGCTGGAGCTTTGGCCTGTAGAAAGCTGTAGCTCCACACATCATTCTTGCTTTTTCAGTGGCAAAGAGAGTATTACAAGTTATGATATTTACAGCTGGTCTTTTAGACTGCTCATTGACCCTCTTAGCTTGAGATATTGTTGCTGTGTGTGAACGCTTTTTAAGCACATCTTCATCTCTTTGTACTTCCTGCTTAAAGGGAATATGTTCAGTGTATGTAACTGCAGTGCGCTGTCAAGGGAGCTTTGCATGAACTATATTGTTATACAGTATCTTCTTTACCCCTGACGCATAAAAAAATTCTGAACTTTATATAACTTTCCAAAATTCAATCTAATTTGAAGAAAATTAAGATGTGTTTTGAAAGACTGAGTGCTGGATAAATCTCTTTTTTTTTTCTCTTGTTGCAGCGATCTGGACTTCATTTTCGACATACAGACAACACTGTTCAATGGCTGAGAGCTATGGAGTCAATAGGGTTGCCTAAGGTAAGGATCTTGTTTGTGAACTGAGACAAATTCAAGAATTCACTCTGCCTTATCACTGAAATTGCCTTCAGTCCAGTACTTCAACCAACCTTCAAGAGAGAGTTTACTCTTTCACTATATTTAATAAATAAAACCATTCATTGATACATATGAAGAAAGCTTCACAACCACAATGTTTCTGTTTTTTCAATGCAGATTAATATATCCAGTAATTGTTCCTTAGCATTTTGCACACTGATGCAGCTACCCACTCTGAAAAAGTTCATTTTCATTTTCTTTAATGGTAAATCCTATGGCTTCCATAGGAATAGAAAATATGATGGAGGAGGAGGATTAAGAAAGAGAAAAGATGAGACAAATTCTAAAACAGAGTGGGACTGCATTTCATATATTGGGTAATATGCATCAATATGAGCTTAATTTGTTTCAAACACCACCATCAATTTGTTTAATCTGTACATCAGCTTTGACATTCACATGTGACACTGGCATGTTGATAACCATGTCCCACATCAGCACTTCCTGCAGCCAGAAGCAGTATGTTAGTGTTTAGCTGACAAATGGAAAATTGGTCTTTTGCTGATACAAAAACCAAATGGAATGCAGGTTTTAAGAACTATATATAAAATAAATAATGCCCAAATTTACATTATGACAGGATCATGTTGTAAGCGAGGCCTGGTATTCGTTAACCTGGTGTCTGGTAAACGTAAATATGACACCATGTTTTATAGCTAAGCGATGTGTGTGTTAAGTGTGAGGTTGTAGAGACTCCTGGTTTGAATCCTGTTCTCACGATTTAGTGGGAAAAAAATGTACTGGTTCTGCTGACATATTGAAAAGCTGCAGCTGCGGGGCTTTATTTTAAAAATAATTTGTATAAAATTTTAGATTGAGAAAAGGAGGAAAGGCAGTTTTAAAACTCTGGACCTCTTTTGGCTAATGAGCACAGGTTGATTACAGATCATTATGAATTTGTGAGTTTTGTTAATAAGATAAATATCAAGATTGGTATTTTATCTTATGTAAGAAATGATTGAAATCTCTTAATATCAACTAATATATTAATATTAAAAGTAAGAGTTTTTGTTCATTTGTTTCAAGGCAGTTTTAAAGTATGCCTAAATAGCAGTATATTCAATGTACAAATGCAGTGTGTCCTTTAACTGTTGGAAATTATTACTTTTACTGTATGATTCAATTGGGATATCCAGTGTTACTCAAAACACAAATGTACAGTAAGCCAATCCAGCCTGCTGTTTAGAATGTACTTTGCCATTGGATAATGATTTTATGCACCACATCTCTAAAATGCCACAGACATATGTTGATTAAAATTGGGTGTTATATAGTCCCCTACATTGTATTCTCAAAAATAATCTGTCAGTATGCTATTAAGATTATTAACTACCAGAAGATTGCATGCTCTAAAAAAGCGACAAAACATTCTTGTTGAGTCTTGTTCTTGTTCTTTTCAGATCTTTTATCCTGAGACAACAGATGTTTATGATAGAAAGAATATGCCCCGGGTGATTTATTGTATACATGCATTAAGGTAAGAGAAACATCACAGTCTAATAGTAGCCTTTCTTTTCAAAATTACAGCAGTTGCTAAACCGTTTTGAAATTACTTGGTCACTTAAAATGTATCATTATTTTATCCTGGGACTTCATTCATTACCTGGAACAAAAGAATAGAACAACTTCAGTCAGTTGTTCTCAGCATTTTGTTGTCTGTATAATACATGAGACAATTAATCTTACACATTTTAACAGCTTTTACAAGTTCTGTCATGACAAACTTGCAAATGCATTGCATCTTTCTTTAATTTGTAGGGATAAGCCCTATTCTTTAGAGTTTGCTAAACCTGGTAAATAGGAGTTCCTTGTATTCATGCAGAGTTACATAGTTGTATAAAATTGCTTGACAATCTAGACAATAATGTAGTAATCTTGTAATATTAAAGGAGACTTTTGTTGTGAGACTTCATTTTTGTTATTCTGTTCACATTTAATATCTCGTGCTATAAGGTCATTTACATTTATAAATGGAAAAAAATATTTTTTCAGTGTTTTATGTGCTGAGAGGCATAAACGAAATGCAACAAAGGATACTAATTTTTTGCTTTTTAATGCCTCTCAGTACAGAACGTTTAAAATGTAGTGTTGTATGATGATTCTTAATCCAAGGTATGCACTGAAAATAGGCAGATCATTCATACACCTCTAATAAACTTTACTTTTCATTAAAGAATCTTTCATATTGTTTTTCCCCCTCTTTTGGTAATAACGATGGGCATAGATCTTTAGCCCAGCCGTACTGGTAAGCCACTTCCTGTCTGCTCTAAGTCACTTCCTGACAACGGATACCTTTTCCTTTTGCCTTTTTATCACAAAGTTAAATCTGGAGGGTTTTGTCTCCCATTCTGTTAAGTAACATCAGCGGTTTACAACCGTCTTAGGAGAAGCCAAATGGCTACTTTGTGTGTCATCTGTTATCATAAAGAAATCCAGACGGAGACAGAGGTCTTTTAATGCAGTTCACAGTCTTACCTAATGTTTTTCTATTGGTAAAAACTAGACATTATTTGACAACTTCTCTTCTAATGTACATACCAAACCGGTAGACAGTGAAAAAAATAAAATCTCATCAGCTGTGTCTGACCCCAGTGCGGAAGCTGGTATCTTATAAACTGAATTTTAAATGTTTGCTTGAGACGAAAAGCAGTTCATGATGGTGTACATTGCTCATGTTGATTTCTGAGGTCTTCACTATGTCACTCTTGTTTCAGTTCCTGACATCTATTGTTTCCTTAGTTCTTGTAACATCTAGTTTTTGGTGCTAACTACAGCTGTCAGTATTTTGCCTTTTGCTTGGACATCTTCCGAGTCAGCTCGGTTGGTCTAGGTAGGGTGTGGCATCTCCAATTAAGCAGCGCTGACACTGAGCAGAAAGCGGCGTTTTGCTCTCATGTAATCAAAGTGGTTTAAACCACAAATTGAAAGATAATATTTTTAACAAATGCAAGCACTTGCAAGATACTTAACCGTATTATTACTTTCATTTCAAACAGACACATTTAAAAAAGCGTCAAATGAGAACTGCAGGACCTCATTGAAAAGTTTTCTGCTTGTGTAACACCGTGTACATAGATCTCAAGCTGAGGTGTGAATCGATAGATATGCCTTTTTATTTTAACAGAGCTGCAAGCATAATCACAGTTAATGTCTTTGTGCAGGTCAAGAATGTAAATGTGAATGGAAAACATTATTTTAAACACAGAAACAAGTATTTTTGTTTTGATTTTCTCTGACCTTTTTGAAAAGTACTAAGAGACCTTCCTGGGATTCAAAATAAAAGGAAAAAAAACTCAAGTATGATGTAAGATGTAAAATGTAAGATTTTTGTATTTCCTAGTTGACTTTTCTGAGTATATTCCAGCCACTGTATGTTGAAAGTGAATGCATGCACAGGCTAGCCTTTTTTAATACATTATTACATTGAAATTTACACTAATATAAAAACCCTCACTTTGAAAGCAGCTGTGGTCAAAACAGAGCTATTCTGAATCTAATGACCTATTGATATCAGATCACATTTTATTATTATTATATTGCTTGTGTTAACCTTCAGTGGGAAACATAGTATAGTCATAGTCTGGAATGGGTACAGTAAATCCCCTATGTATAATTTATCACAAAATAGCTTAAAATATTTAGAATATATCACTATCAGCTTTATCTTTAAAGGCATACTTCATATAGATACAGCACAACTTTGACAGTTTTAGTACTAAAGAGGCTTTTGCAAATAGTAGCAGTATTTTAAGTTATAATGCACAACTTTCAGCATCTTATTATATTCTTATAATGTATTTTATGAAATATAAGAATTTAAAAAAGGATGATTTTAATGATTAAAACTACCACAAAACACATTGTTTAGTTTAACAAAGTAAGATGTTTACGCATTTCTAAGAATTTTAAAATAAACTTGAAATGCTGCACTTTGACATAATGCATGGGGTTTCTACTCAGTCATGATGTGGTTTTCGGTGATGGATATCTGTCACTTTTCACAAGAGCTTATTTTTATTTAGAATTTCTTACTACAGTTTGTACTGTGCCCATCCCCCCCACCCTTCTGAATGTGAAACAAAGCTCTTCTACCTAATTTTAAATGTGTTTCTGAACTTTGTGGGCTTTGGATAGGACATTTCCTTCCCCTTGAGCAGCACTCCCCATGCGCTCATTACAAACTTTTCACTACACCGTTTTCCGAAAATAGATCACTCAGAAGACCAGGCAGTCTCAGGAAAGCAACTGTCATCTGATTACAGTACCATTGTAGATTCAACAATAGCATCTATACTGTCTTTTAACTTGTAGTACCTAAGAAAAGACGAGCATAGAACAAAATAACAAAGACGACCATATGGTAGAAAATGAAAAATAAAACAAACATCGCGTTGTCTTTGTTGCCCTCTTCCCAAAGGTGCTGAAAGGTTTGTGTGGGAGAGTTTTTCTGATGTTTTTTTTTATTTTTAGCTGGGTCAGAGAAGTAAATTTATCTTCATTAAACCCTGTGCAGTCAGTCATTTGCTCATTATGGCTGAGGATTGTTTACAATTAAGTGATTAAGCTCTTGCCCTCCACAGCAGCCAGAGCTGAGGGTAAGCGTCAGTGTTCTAGTGCTTTCTTCTTTAATGCCAGGTTGAAGGTACTGCTCCACCCTGCTAGCCAGTGCCTGGTACTGAACAGAGACCAGAGGCAGCCACCCCTTTAATAATTTAGACCTGCTGACAGACATTACCATGAAATGTTAATGTAGTTTCCACTTACTTGCTCCAAGTTATAAGCAGGACCTCCGAGTTATAATTGTGGTTTTGCTGTTTTTACAGCTATTGTTTCTGAGTAGTAGTGAGTAAATAATGCCACCTACTGGTAGATAAGTCTAAGTCTTAAAGTAAAAAAGGCAAGTGTGGTGACCAAATTGAAGCCTTTGTTATTGTCCTAATTCCTATTGCAGTTGGAATCTGTCCTTATTCTTAAATTTTGTTCCACATGCAATCTGTGAGACTAAAATATTGAATAGAGCTCCCCACAAAATAAAACAGAGAGACTAAAAACCTAACGATTGCAAAATACAAAATACAAAATGCAACATTTTTCGAGTGTTTTCTTTCTTAGCTATGCTGTCTTGTAATATCTTTCAGCTGATACAGTGCAGTTACAAAGCAAAATCTAGAGACTGTATGTGAAAAAGAAAGCAGTGCTTTAATAATGCGCCCTAATCCTCATTCAATCCCATGATATTGAATGGTTCAGTGGATGAGCCATGTGAGATGTTCGGCAGCATGCAGAACTGGAACAACAGCGCGTTCAGGAGGCTGCGGCAATCACAGCACCCTGCTGGGGGGAATGAGCCAAGGCTGTGTCTGTCAGGAGATGACTGATTGAAGGGAGGAGTGCACAGTGACAAGCTCGGGGAAGAAGTGTTTGTTAATCATATTTGTACCTAGTTGGGTGTGACTGAGGCCTTTGCCCTCCCAAACCTTAGTTCTATAGAGCTAAGATACTGTGAATACAGTAACGTTGCAGTTGTAATGAGACGGGTCCAGTCCTCAGCTTGTTTATTCACACATTCTTTGCTTGCTCATATGTACCAATCCCATTTCTATATTGCTTTCTATCATCCTTTTTTAAATTCTTATATTTCATAAATGTTAAGTGAGTTTGATTGTTAGAGAGTACAATACATATGTATAATGTAAGGGAGAGTTGGATTTTTTGGAGGGAAGGGCAGGTTGAACACTGTATAATAATCTGGGAACATGTCCTTCTAAATCATTCCTTAAAGCAGGGGTGTCAAATATGTGGCCTGCCAAGTGGTTCAGTTCTCACCTTGTCTTTGCCTGCAAACTGCATGCCATGCAGGCACTCTTGGTTATGTTACTGTATTGGTCTTGAATACACAGCTCTCTGTGGTTCTCTACCTCTACATAATAACATACCCCATATTTGACCCTATTGTTTTCAGAGATCTAGGTTGACAGGAGTGTCTTCAGAAGAAAATAAGGTGCCATAGTAAATAAGTTTGATACACATACCTTAAATTATACCTTAAACCGTTTATTTTGATGAAGCATCATGATAATTGCAATGAATACCAAAACGCTTATGCCACCTCTGTCATGTTCCTTTTGAATTTAAGACAGGGAATGTCTGAATTAAGGATCTCTGAAGTCTAGGATGTGTGACCTTTTCCTTATGGATTTGTTTCAGTTTATACCTTTACAAGCTGGGAATAGCTCCTCAGATCCAAGACTTGTTGGGAAAAGTGGATTTCACAGGTAAAATGTGCTCACATGTTTGGTCATGTAATAGCATCGCTCATTTAGAACTGTTATCTGAGGAACTCTCTGTGCACAGCCAGCATACAATAACATTTAAGCACAGCGAAGATAATTGACATACAAATAGTATGTGTTGTGTGGTCTGTTAAGTTTAATAATTAAAACACATATTGTAACCTTCTTTGTCAAAATGTAATATGTAACACTGAATACTACTTGTGGTTTGACCTACAGTAGTACCAGCTCTACTTGCAAACTTAACTGTACTGTCCACATATCTGTGATTTGTACTTATCCAATTGTTGATTATAAATGTCTGCCTGAGAATATGAAAAAGACCTCCTTTTCATTTCACTTGACTTGATAGTGATAGTTCAAAACCTAAATTATTATTTCAATGCTAAAACATTATTTATTGTTTTAAAAGAAACTGCCCACAAAAATGGATAAATACCAAATAAATCCAGGCAGAGTTTAAACTGCACTGAAGACTTTTTTTGTATAAATTGCTGGAACTTTGAAGCGTAATAAGTAATATGCAGTAGCATTTGCAGTGCATCGATAACAAAGCACAGAGACCTGCATTGTGTATGTATTTATTGATATCCACAGAGGAGGAGATCAGTAACATGCGGAAAGAACTGGAGAAGTATGGAATACAGATGCCAGCGTTCAGTAAGATTGGAGGAATCCTTGCTAATGAGCTTTCTGTGGATGAAGCTGCGTGTAAATACATTTTAATATATTTGAGGTTGGAGGAATGGGGATGGGATTCTGTTTTATTTCTATTGCAAATTACTAAATAGTTTTGAAAAGACTGACAACTGGATTTCAAACAACTAAATTAGTTTACATTTCCGTATTTTCCACAGTAGTTCCTAATGTTTTTTTCCCCAGAAGTCTGCAGTTTTGCGTTTGTCAGGATTGTCTACTTTCTGTATAACATTGTTGAAGAAAATGATGGCTCTTCCCAAGATGAAAATTCCTTTAACCTTTGGCAAGATTTTGTAAAATTGGGCGTTGACATTTTCATGAAATAAGCTTCTAATGCTTCCTGTTTTCCAGTGCACGCTGCTGTTATTGCCATCAATGAAGCCATAGACAAAGGAGTTGCTGAGCAGACCCTGAGTGCCCTTATGAACCCAAATGCAATGCTGAGAAACACTGAGACAAATCTTGCTCGGGAATACCAGGATAAGCTCAGTCAATCCAAGAAGGTCAAAGAGGAAAACACTGCAAGCAGGGTATTTTTTACTGTGCAAATAATTCCCTTATTACAGTTCATAAAGTTATTTTTAAGCCCGCTTAACTGTTTCAGTAGTGGAAACATAGAGCTGGACCTTAATAGTCTAAAAACGTGACAAACTGGAGCAGCCACTAACTCAACTGAAGTGTACAGTATGTACAAATGGACTTTAAATCAACTTCTGCACAAGGGGACCTCATTATCTCAGGGTGTGGAACCTATCAAGGGTTATATTGAATTTCATGTATCATATTTTGGGAATTCACTTACCTTTTTCATTCATTATATGTGATATGTCCAGTACTCTTATCTTAGCGTGTATGACATAATATATTGTGAAATGAGTTTTGGTAATAAAATTAATATTAATTTGTTGTACTATACTGTATATACATCAGCCTTGTGTTTATGAAGGTGGTAATATCTTATAATGTAATAACCTTTACTTGTTAACATGCTTTTCATGGTAAATTATATATTTTTTATTTTTCCAGACTTTAATTCAGGGGAAAAAATTCATGCATGTCTAATCACTTCTGGCTAAGGGCACATGATACAGTATATTATTTCAACTTGGAAATAATAGGATCTAATTTTTGTTTGCATTTTTTAAATGTGAACTGCATATACTGTACATTTATCTTTAGATTATTCTGTTAAACTGGTCAGTAAATGGTGTATAGAAATTTGCTTGCCCTTGGTTAATAGCCTTTTCTGTGCTATATATGTAATTAATTCAGGTCTGCACATGTATGCAGAATGACTGGTACTGTATGTTTTTCCTTTGTTATTTAAGGACCATTCTAATGGCTGCTGTCTCATCAAAGCAGAAGTCCAGGAAAGAAACTCCTCTTCAGTATTTGACTCACTTTATGAGGGAACAGTTGTTGTTCTAAGCATCTGTCATAAGGCTTCAGCAGAAATTTAGCTGACCCATTGATTTCTGAATAAAAACTCTCAGTGATTACTTAGTGAAAAACTAACCTCTACCCCATACAGTATGTTGCCTAACAATTCTTAGATAAGACCAGTATAACTAAGCTACTGTAGAATACCAAAACTGAGAATTTTATGGAAAGGTTCATGTTTATTTTCCTTTGTTTTATCTCTTCTTAGCGCTCTTCTGTTTCATCTGAAGAAAGAGATGTTTACGAGGAGTTGCTGACCCAATTGGAGATCCAGAATTGTCTTAACGCTGTGAACAGTAAGTGTTTCCTGTGAAAAAGAATGGGTCAACCATGTCTTGGGGGTTAAATGCAAAAAGGCACAAACACTGAAACACTCTTTTTTTTGGTTTGTTGTCAGCACAAGCAGCAGTGACTGCTGTGAATGAAGCAGTCAGCAGAAAGGATGAAGATGCCCTATTGACAAGCCTTAAGCTTCCAGCTCTGGGGTTGCTGGGAGTCCTGACTAGCAATTCATCCTGGTACCTAGAACAGTTCTGCACCTACAAGGACCAGAAATCTGTGGTAAGTGGCAGAGCCTGAAACAGCAGCCAGGTATTGACAGCATTATTCTCTCAAATGCAGTTTATAATGTGATCGGCTTTGGTATCTTGTTGTAGCAGCACTGTATTAATGTGCACATACAAGTTTGTATTTTTTTTCCACAGTCTAACACAAACTTGCCAAATTATGGAGATGTTCTTTCCAGTGTGAGTGGTTTTCAAGCTCTTCTTCTCTTATTTTTCTCTGTTTTGCTCCTATCCTTCTCTAAAAACACTTATGCACGAACAAAATCTACAGATAAGCCTCACAAATAAGATGAATACAGAATAAGTGTCTATCTATATAGCTTTACCACAAAACCATCATCCCCTTTGTGTTCTTGTACAGTAACTGCTAGCTTTCTGAGCTAAATAAAGAGATTCTGCAGTTGTCACATTTTTACTTAAATTAAAAATTGAGAAAGCAAAATGTACAGCTTTGTTTCTTCTTCTATGTGCAGAGCGCAGGAGCCCCTGTGCAGCTGGAAAAGGACGAAATTCAGCAAATTGTGAGCTCCTGCAATGATTTTGCTGAAGCTCATAAACGACGTATGTAGAGTTTGTGTGTTTTTTTAAATCTTAACACCACATTCAAACAGCTTCTTAGAATTGTTGTTATTTAAAGAATATGCAACTATTATAATGCAACATGTTTTGAAAAAAATCACAAAATTGCTTGGGACCACATTCCTTGAAATCTCTCTCATTCTAGCGTTAATCCCGCATCAGCAGGGTCAGCTTGTCGGCGCGCCCGTCTCCATTTGGTGGTTTGAACCAAATCTTTGAGCTGACGTTGCCATTAAATGCGACCGAGAATACTCCAATCGCTCCGCCTGCCATCAGAGGGGGGGAGGAGAGCAAAGCAATGTAGCCAATTCATAGAGGGGGATTATTAGGAGGAATAGGAAATTTGGCCAGGATGCCAGGGTTACACCCCTACTCTTTTCAAGAAACACCCTGGGATTTTTAATGACCACAGAGTCAGGACCTTGGTTTTACGTCTCATCCGAAAGATGGTGCTTGTTTATAGTATAGTGTCCCCGTCACTATACTGGGGCATTAGGACCCACATTGACCGCAGGGTGAGCACCCCCTGCTGGCCCCACTAACACCTCTTCCAGCAGCAACCTTAGTTTTTCCCAGGAGGTCTCCCATCCAAGTACTGACCAGGCTCACACCTGCTTAGCTTCAGTTGGCTGCCAATTGTAAGTTGCAGGGTGACATGGCTGGTGGCACCGACCACATTCCTTGAAATACCAGATGTTTATGCTGAGTATGACACCCCTCTTGTTAAATATGTTTTGAGGGAAAAGGAGATCACAATTTTATATATTTTTTATCAAGGCTTTCTGAAAGTTAAATGTAATAAGAGCCTGCTTTGTAATTGTATTTTTTTTCCTCATTTTTATTTTATTTTATAAGCTCCAATTGCAACAAAACGTTTAGTGATTTTGATTTTGTGGTTGTTCAATTCAAAATATTATGTCCTTGTTTTGGTAAAATATGTTGTAAATATTGTACTGCAGATATCTCATAGTTTTAACAAAATCTTTGTTTCAATACTTGTCAGAATGTTTTTAATAGAGCAGCCTTCATTAAGATTTACTTTGATGCCTTTGTAGATAAAGTAATGTGATCCTTATTGCAGCAAACCAACCTGTTTCAACATTCATTGACTAGGACAGGGTAGCTAAAGTTGTCATTCACAACATGAAATAAAAATAAATCTCTTCCGATCCAGCGTTAACCAAAACAAAAAGCCAACTAAAGATGCCATTAGCCAAATAACTACACACATTTTGCCGTGTATAAAAGAGACCTTTGGGTAATGCTAGCTTGGTCATTTGTTTTGAGTTCGACTTGTTTGGCCTTTTCACAGAGCTGGAGTCTGTTGCTGCAATCAATACTGCCATCCGTGAAGGCAACTCTGCCCACACTGTGCGAGAGCTGATGAACCCTGAGGCTCAGCTTCCCATTGTGTACGAATCTGCAGCTGATCTCTACCAGTCTGAGCTCTTTACCCTGCAGAAACAGAGCGCTGGTGTAAGCATCTCTGTACCTGTGCACTCCAAAGTGCAGTGTTTTTGTTTGCATAATCAACATGTGGCTATAAGGTCCATGACCTGATACAGTTTTGGTTTTAACAGACACTGCAGAAAGCTCAAACCCAGCACCAGGGAGTTCTACACTGGGAGGGAATGAACTATTCAGAAGTGATTGGGCTATTATGGCCATATCTATACCCCCTGCATGTGTCCTTGTTGGGGGAAAAAAAGTCTGAAACAATCCTTTACTATTGCACATCAACTGCTTATATACAGTATACAACAGTTTAAAGCACTATTCCTGACAGAACATTTAACTTGAAAATCCTAATTGACATAACACAAATATTTGGTGAACTCAACGTTTAGACGTACAATTGCACAAATTTCGATTTGTCCAGTTTTCATAAAGTCAAGCATAAAAAGAAGAAACTGCTGCACAATACATGATGCATAAATCACATTTTATTGTAAAAAAAATCTGACCTTCATCAGAGCTTTGATGAAGGTCTCTCACCAAAACTTTGACTTTCTTGTCATCTTGCAGGTTACGAAAGTTTATTTTTTATATAAATTAAACAATTTCCCTATGCAGATCGGTCAGATGTTTTTTTTTTTTTAAAAAGTCGTCAAATTTGTCTCAGTGTAATTCTCTGCACTCAGAAGCATGCAGAGTACAGCATAGAATTGTAGTTTAAGCATTCAACATCAGAAAAAATAAATAAATTATGAGTTGAATCATGTTCAAATAAAAACTATTTATGCCTTGACTAGGAAGAACTAGTTTAGACCTTTCCAACATCAAACGGATAAATAGAAATTAAATGTAACAGCAAACCATTCCAACTATTATTTCCAGTTGATTTCAGGTGTTTTTGTACAGTCAGTCTTGCTGATCTCAGAGACAGTACTGGAAGATGTGGATCAAATCGCTTCTGAAGGTTTATAGCACCTTGACCTTTGTATGAGATATAAAATATTTATATTACTCTTTTGTCCATTATAAGATTGACAATCAAAATGTTATTTTTGCTATTACCTCCTGATTTACTGTATTTTCTTCTCCTTTCAGGATAGAGGGGCATTTTTTTTCACATCAGTTATTTTGGCATCAAGGAATATTATTACCTTCTTAATTCTTGTGCCATTTAAAATTGCCTTTGTGCAGGTGGACCTG